TCATTGAATTTAACTTTTCCCTTCCTCCCAAAATGTCGTTCGTTCCAGGATGGAATGCTGATTTGACCTCGTCTTAGTCTCATCAGCGTCCCCATTGGGATTCAACACATGTTGGTGAGTATAGTGACAAAGTTACTAATACACTAAATTTCCACTGGGCGGAGTGACATTCAAGACCAGTCGGGTTTCTCCCAACTCACATTTATATTAGGATTGTCAAGTAAACACACACGTGTTTGCCATTGTAACCAACGACGTTACTTATTTTCGTTCTGAGTAGCCTTCAAAAATAAATAGCATCGTTGCATGAAATTGCTTATCATTGGGGAGACTTTCATTTCATATGAAAGTGCATGATGAAGAGATTCACCAGAAGACGACGGCTGATTCCTGCAGTACTGCAGCAGTTTGACTTTAATACGACCTTAAGGTCGACGCAGTCCACGAGACATTATCCCTCGATTAAGGTCACAATGGGAGATTACTCGAAACCCAGTTACTCTTTGTATCAAAGTTTGTATCAAAGTTTGTAATCAAAGTTCCCAGTGTTGAAGGGGCTTGGCTTGCATTGAATGTAACCATGTAATCCAGTAATACCCATGGTCATGTAGCGGAATGGTAATGTCGTCCGTTTCGAATCCCTCTGAGGGTCCTGATGAGATATATGCGATGTTGAAATTGCAGTTCATCCTGGATGTCATAACTTTTGGGAGGCAATGCCAGGTTCAATTCAATGGAATCATGAGGCCCACTTACCTCGTTGTGGGACAACTCAACTATCAGTCCTTGACTAACTTGTTGTGTGGCTAAATCCTTATTAAATAATTTTATATTAGATCTTCATAAAATTTTGAGTTATGCAGTGAATTTACTACTGGTTCAGCGATATTGCAAGTCTTTTCGTCTTTCCCTCAACAACATTCCTGACTCTGACGACGATTCACTGCCCTACTATCGAATGACTGAAGAAATTAATTATAGTTTTGTATCACAGCTTCCAGTAAATTGATTAGGTCAGATGGGTCAGATTCTGTCTGTATTTCTACAGGATGGATAGCGAATATGTCTATGATACATTGATTTTTGCAGAGATAACTTCACGGTGCATTCCACAAGTCGTTTAACTCCGAGATGTACAGTAGTTTCATCTTTCCATCGCTTCCAGTGGAATTCAAGCTACATAAATGAAAATTAAAAGAGCCATTCTCTTAACGCACTTCGCTCACAACTTCAGCAGAACAAATATGACTTGCAAGGCAAAATAAACCACTCCAAAACCTCATAACATAATGAAGACGACAGCTTTTTCTATTAAACGCTAAATGCTACTGATCCTGGCTTTAGTAAAAGGCAAGTCAGGAGTAAAAAGGACTTTTGCGATACATGGCGAAGTGAAGTTTAATGGAAAACATTAAGCCCTTATTAAATTTGGGCAGACTCACTCTCACTTCTCTAAGAGTATGGGATTATTGGGCGTGAAGCAACGCCCCTTCCGATGAAGTAGTATGAGACGAAATCGGGTCAACAAGACCAGTTCTTCATGCTGCAGCTCAGCACTAAGTTTGGCACTGAATCTGATAATATACCCAGTCGATTAGATAAAGATAAACTCGGTTTTGAAGAATTCTGTAATGAAATATTGTGGCATGGCTCTCCATTTCGAAGGAAAAGTTGGTTGGAAGTAATGAGTGATGTGGTCTCACTGGAAATCGAAGAGGGATTCCTGCGTAGGAAAGAGTGTTATATTGTGCGAAAACGTCCTTGACCCACCGTCCTGTGACCCCGATGAAATTTTGCTAAGCTTTCGTCTGCACTGTGACAGACATCATCAGAGCAAGAATCCATAATTTACGAAATAGAGCAAAAATATACTAAACCAATAGAAAAGGTGGCCAGCTGCAACCCTAGTCACTTTTAATACACTTATAATCGCGATCTTAATGAGGTATCCCATGATTTGTTTGGCTACTTCAACCTTACTCTACATGATTGCAAATGAGTGAAGTTACTTCGTAAACCAGAAGTACGCTCAGTGGCAGCTTTTTCATTACATTAAAAAATGAGCGTACGAACTTCTAACTTTGAATCATGTTTGGGCTTGTGCTAGTGTATATTGTGTGTATGGATGTTCATTTCATGGGAAGTGGGATAATTATATTTAGACTCGAGGATAATCCCGCCTAATTCTCTTGCTCAGTGGCTCTACTTGCATCTCCTCTCTCCCTTTCCTTAGGTCTATCCAACACCCACAAATAGTTGATACTTAATTTTCTACACTCGTTCCATCTATTCAAGACGTTGGCTAATTTGTTAATTTCTACAGACTCCTTAATATTACGTTTTGACGTAAAGTCCCCGTAACCCATAAAATGTTGTGCTTTGGACCAGTCTATTGAGTGCTCTGTATTAATCATGTGCTCAGCGAACTCAGATTTTTGGACCCAGAGACCTTTACAAGCGGTTTTGTGTTTGCATAGTCTCTTATGAATGTGTTGGAAGGGCTCCTCCACATAGACCTTACCACATGAGCACAAAACATTGTAGCAGCCTGATCTAGAAAGAGAGTCTGAATATTCTCTATACTAAGTAACTACTGAAGAAAGTGTTAATTTCTCTTTATACATTGTTTTTATGTTCCATTTCCTTAGTAGATCATCCCACTTTTTCTCTAGTTGACAGGAAGGCAAAATCAGGAATCGAGTATAATTGTCCAGTTGTCTATCCCACCCCTGATAGCAAACCCCCCTCATTTTGTTAACGACACTTGATATGTAATTGTTTTGAAACAGTATATTCCCCAATATACCAATTGCATGGCCACTGTGGCTTGCATCCGTATCCTCCATTTGTTCAAAGTCCTAGTCTACCTTGACATTGCTACGCCATTCTTCACCTTAAGAGTAAAATGTTTACTAGCAAAAACGGCACCGCTCTACAACGGCACTTGTTTATAATACGGAGCGAAACTAAATCCTAATGAAACCATGCAAGCACCAATCAAAGATTTCTTTATGAAAATTGGATTACGAATTGGCACTCTAGCAGGCAAAAATGCATCCTTTTCATGTCACCTTATCCATCGAAATTAGAACATAGAAACGTACAACATATTTTGCTCCCTATTTGGACTATGCTTGAGTCGGACGGCTCTTGGACACAAATCAGGTTTTTATTTTGCTTCCAACCGCTTGCTTCCGACTGGAAAGTTCTCCATATCAGCCAATCTCCGCCTGCCAAAACAGCATTTCCTCCGGTACATAGACCCTCCCAAAGGTACTTCCTACGGCCCAAAAGAGATTGCATTCTTCTATTGCCTTTCGGCAGATTCACATAAATAAGTGACTATGCGGGCTTACTTTTAGGCGGTTTTCGTTTTTCGAAATTGACACTTTGCAGGCGACTTGGGCTCAATGACGTCTTGTTGATGGCGCTCTGATTATCAAAGAGCTCAGGCATGTATTTATTATGCAGCATGATGGCCTATACCCGCTGGATATTGTGAAGTTTCCTTACTCTTTGCTTGATATAAATCTAAATTATATGGCTTGGCCTACCTGGAAAGAAGCTGGGTCTAGCAAAGCATTCACTTGGAAATAATATGTCTACTGAAATACACGGTTGAATCCTAAACAAAAATTATATATGCACACTTTCAGCTCCGCCATATATAGTCGTTTAGATGACAGCAGTGCGTATAATGTAAGTAACTGAATGGAGACATTTTATTTTTGCTCCAGAAAAGATGCGAATTGCATTTGTCCTAATGAATCGTTTCTCAAAATCCGTCCAACTTATGCAAATTCGCAAGTTAAAATCCCCATCTTTATCGTGCTTCCCTTCACTCTCATTCACGCAAACATCAATCTGCACATGCTAATACAAGCAAACACACATACTCGGGCAATGCATAAACAAGGCACCACACCAACTTTCAAATGCACGTAGATGTGCACAGACAGTTTGATGCTCTAGTCTGCTCGTAATAAATCCTCGACTTGTCAGCTCAATTGGCCAAAGGCTCAACCATGAGTCTGGGGCAATCATAGCAATTCAAGTTGCTTTAACGGAGCATACAGGCCTAGAGAGATAATATGTCTGGAAGTAAGATGTGCCGAAAGCCTGTTGGTGAGGGTGAGACCAACTTGACGACGGCGAGCCGGTTGATGAGATTGGAGGGTCGGGCTGACTTGGGTTGGCTGAAGTTGTGTGAAGAAAGGACGTAGGCGAATGGAAGGGGTGAGATAGAGTAAGATGGAAATGACTGGGAATGGCTTTAACCGTTCTCTTGCCTTCCAACCATATGAAGGGGAGCTGGGGGTAAATGTTCAATCCAGAGCCAAACAGCAGACAGTCTACCTGCCTGGGCTGGGCAAAACAGTCGGACTAGTGGCAATAATAAGGGCAGACATACATGCCTACATACAGACATACATACAGACATACAGACAGACAGATACGCATACGCACATACGGACGGATCGGATGGCTGGCCGACTGGGTACTTGGCCAGCAGGCAGAAAAGGCAGCCAGGCAGTCGAGCATACAAACGGGCAAGCAAATGAGACTGGTACTGCCAAAAAGCTGAATGGTTTGGGGGTTGCCGACCGGGCCCATGGACAGGTAAGTAGGCAAGAAGGATGCGACGGCTAAAAGTTGGCCATTTAACACCTTAGGCTCTCGCAGACGGTCGGATATGCCCGGGGCCGAGGCGGGAGACTGGCGAGAAGAGGGGTAAAAAGTAGATGAGTTGAACGAGAGGGTGTCGAGCCCGACAAATAGGCATTCGATAAAATGCGCCCAGGAAGCTAGCAGAGGCATTTGCTTCCAGATTTATAATATTTTTCTGTGTTTGTAAAGAGAGAAACAGATGGAAAGATTGCTGGAACGAGCAGCGCGTGAAAAAGAATACGAAGGAAGCCTGGGAAGAGGTCGATTAAAGATAGAAAGTTAGCACAAATGATCATACATAGTCTACGCAACGTTCGGAAGTACCGAGTCCCAATTTTATCAACCAACGTGGACCCATCATCAAGAGTATCGCTCGGGCATAAGCGTTCACACTTGTTTGAGTCTGCCGTCGCCCTTATTGACAAGTCACTGGGCCTGATTGTCTGTTTTCGAATCCTGCCTGTGAGTGTGCATGCCAAGTGTGTTGGCGTGTCAACTCTAGAACCGGCTGCCCAGAAAAAGAGGAATTGTGAGAAATGAGAAGTATTGTGTTTATATATTCATATCCGATCATGCAGAAATCCTGCCTTCAGTCTGCTCTTTCGTACAGTGGCAATCTATCACTATATCATAACGAGACGATGCATTGGCAGAGAATGTGTAAAGGGTTGATGGAAATAAAAGTAACGTGGGCTAAAGTAGGTCGATGGGCTGAAAAATTATATGAAAAGATTATATTCATACATGATTAGGTATATTTTAAGAACTTTCTTGGGCCGACCTTTATCACGCCCAGAAGTGTGTGGCAATGAGACTCGCCAAACATAAGCGGTGTGATCTCCTTAGCCGGCCGTGAATTGAACGCTGAGGACTTTTCAGGTTGTTGCAGTCGGCTAGTTATCCTCTTCTGATTCAGGAGGCCCAAGTAACCTTTCAATTATAGCAGCTTCGAGCCAGCATTACAGAAACTGACATCTCAGCAAACAAACAACAACAAGCCAGATACAATCCACCATTGTATTCACATGAGTTTGATCCACAAGCCCCTCCAAAATGCACTTTCAAACGAAATCAAAATCATTTTTACATTTATATATGTTTTCGAGACCATCAATAAATCAGATACATGAGATGTGTTGACCCCATTTCCATTCAATTT